GATGGCCATAAACTTGAGAAAAGATGCTGAATCTCACTAGTAATAAGGAAGATGTACATTAAAACAGGATAGTGGGTTTTTACCTTTAAACTAGATGGCCCAGTTGGGCAATATGCAATCTCAGATATTACTGGTAGGATGTAAATTGGTACAGCCTTTGAAAGTACGATTTGGCCAGGTGCGGTGGCTCAAGCCTGTAATCCCAGCACTTTGGGAGGCTAAGACGGGTGGATCACAAGGTCAGGAGATCGAGACCACCTTAGCTAACACGGTGAAACCCTGTCTCTACTAAAAAGTACAAAAAACTAGCCGGGCGAGGTGGCAGGCGCCTGTAGTCCCAGCTACTCGGGAGGCTGAGGCAGGAGAATGGCTTGAACCCGGGAGGCGGAGCTTGCAGTGAGCTGAGATCCAGCCACTGCACTCCAGCCTGGGCGACAGAGCGAGACTCCGTCTCAAAAAAAAAAAGAGAAAAAAAAGAAAGTACGATTTAACTCTTACCTTGAAGTTTAAAAATGTAGATACGGGTTGAATATTCCTAATCCAAACATCTGAAATGTGAAATACTCTAAAATTTGAAGCTTTTTTAAGTGCCAACATGATGCTTAAAGGCAAGGCTCACTGGAGCATTTTGGATTTTTTGGGTTAGGGAACCTTAGCCAGTAATATAGTGTAAATATTCCAAATTCCAAAACACTTCTGGTCCCAAGCATTTTGGATAAGGGACGTTCAACCTGACTGCTTGACCCACTAATTCCATTTCTAGCTCAGGTGTCTGTCCTACATAAATAATGGCACAGGTGCAGTGAGGCTTGAACAGCAGTATTTATTGAATTAGTGTTTGTGATAATAAAAACCAAGTAAGAAAATAAAATTTAAAAACACTCCCCAACAAAAAAATAAGATCAGTGTGAGAATGGTTATTGATTTTTGAACTAGCTTTTCTACTATAAAAGATAGTGATGAAAAAGAACGTGATGGGATTTTGTATATTAATAGAGAAAGACTCTTCATGGCTTATTGTTTATTTTTGTTCTCTTTTCTTTTTTGAGATGGAGTCTTGCTGTGTTGCCCAGGCTAGAGTGTAGTGGCGGGATCTTGGCTCGCTGCAACTTCTGTCTCTGGGGTTCAGGCAGTTCTTCTGCTTCAGCCTGTCTAGTAGCTGGGATTACAGGCACACATCACCATGCTAGGCTAATTGTTGTATTTTTAGTAGAGATGGGGTTTCACCATGTTGGCCAGGCTGGTCTCGAACTCCTGGCCTCAGGGGATCCACCCACCTCAGCCTCCCAAAGTGCTGGGATTACAGGCACGAGCCACCGCACCTGGCCCAGCTTATTGTTAATTGAGAAAAAATATTGCAGAACATTACGCACAGTCTTTTATTTTAAAAAGCTGTTTTAATATATTTATTATATGTGTAGTATGATATGAGTGTATGTATGTGTGTTGTGTATGTATATGTGGGTGTGTTGTATATGTGTATACACACACATTTATCTATGTGAATTAATACAAATACTCTACCCACCAAATTGTTTACTCTTCTGAGGGAGGGGAGTGACATTCTGGGTGGGTAGTAAAAGAAGTCTCTGATTTTTTATTTCTGTATATGTATACATATCAACAAAAATATATCCATGTATTGAAATGGGATTTTTGGCCAGGTGCGGTGGTTCATACCTATTATAATCCCAGCAATTTGGGATGCCAAGACAGATGGATTGCTGGAGCTCAGGAGTTCAAGACCAGTCTGGGCAACGTGACGAAACCCCATCTCTACAAAAAAAACAAAAAACAAAAATTAGCTGGGCATGGTGGCGCAGGCCTGTAGTCCCAGCTACTTGGGAGGCTGAGGCAGGAGGATTACCTGAGCCCGGAAGATCGAGGCTGCAGTGAGTTGTGACCGTGCCACTACACTCTAGGCCGGGCAACAGAGCGAGAGACCTTGTCTAGGGGGGGGTTTAAAAAAAGGTAATTTTTGTGAAATCTGATGTTGGCTTTCGGAGGTCATTTGGGGCAAGTAAAGGCTGAATGTTACTTTATGATCACTGTATCTTTAAAAAAGATTCAGAGAAAATTAGAAAAATCTCTGTTTAGAAGATAGATCCTCAGTCTGTTTCTTTATGCACACGATCCATTTCCACAGTGGATGTTGTGGTCGGCTGCGTGAACACTCCGTGACAGTCCCCCTGTCACTCAGTTGTAACAGAAGACTTTTCTAAACTTTCTCCTCAGATTCCTTTTTTTGAAGATATGTGTAAAGGCATTAAAGCTGGTGACACCTGTGAGAAGCTGGTGGGATATTCTGCCGTGTATAGAGTCTGTTTCGGAATGGCTTGTTTCTTCTTTATCTTCTGTCTACTGACCTTGAAAATCAACAACAGCAAAAGTTGTAGAGCTCATATTCACAATGGGTAAGTATTTCAGTCTTCTTGGGGATTTCTTTCTCCTTTCTTATGTTCAGGACAGTATTCCAGGATCCTGTCTGTCCACCAGACACTGTGACTGCTAGTTGAAATTGTCGATTTAGGGGAAGGTGGAACTGATACTTACCCACATGGTTGCCTGAAAGCTAGAATCTTATTTGTAACACCTGGTACCATGATGTGAAATTTACTCAAGACAAAGAGTTTATTTCTTGTTCCAAGACCTTCCCCCCGGGTCATTTCCACCCATGCAATAAAATGGTGTTTTGCACAATTGGAGGCTGCACTGAGTCTAATTATGGGAAAAAGCATTCTTCGAGTCACCTAATTACTTTTCCTCGATTAGGAGAGAACATTGCCCAATGGCAGAATCATGGATTGACATGCTTTACCTTCTAAGAGGTCCTTTGTCCTTGAATGTCACTTAAATACATTTCCTCTTTTTTTTCTCCCCTCCCCGCCCCCCTTCTAGCTTTTGGTTCTTTAAACTTCTGCTGTTGGGGGCCATGTGCTCAGGAGCTTTCTTCATTCCAGATCAGGACACCTTTCTGAACGGTACTAATGGGGTATTTTGGGTACCTGTTTGTTTTGTTTTTACCCATTTTGTCAGATTGCTCAGAAGTGCAGTCCAAAGTACCTTTGATAGTTTGAATTAATGATTTTTCTTTTGGCTTCACAAGAAATTCCTGACTTACCTGCCCATACTTTTTCCACCATTGCCTGTCTACCTCCCCTCTTCTCACTACCGCATGCCACTTGCAGGCAGGGTGTAAGAGGACTTCGGTACTCTGCTGACCTGGGAGACCTTGTTCTTTCCAAGCACTGCACAGAAAACCCAGAAACAGGGAGCACAGGGCTGTCAACAGCTAAATGTCTGCTGCAGTGATAGTGGGACAGGAAAAGCATCTTTCAGTCTGTTTTTAAACTTACCTTATGTCAAGCTCCGTAGCATTGAATTATATTCTTTATTGTTAGAACCTACCTTAATTCATTAATATGAAGCCTTTAATCATAGCTGAAACAGGGGGCTCTTTTTTATATGAGCTGAGGAAAAAACCTGAATTTCAGTGGTTCAGAGCATTTTGTTCAACCCAAATGGATTCACTTTCCTAAGTAAGGTATTAATATTTAGGCCGGGTGTGGCAGCTCACACCCAGCACTTTGGGAGGCTGAGGCGGGTGGATCACTTGAGGCCAGGAGTTCGAGACCAGCCTGGCCAACATGGTGAAACCTCATCTGTACTAAAAAATATAAAAATTAGCCAGGCATGGTGGTGTATGCCTGTAATCCCGGCTACTCTGGAGGCTGAGACATGAGAATTGCTTGAACCTGGGAGGCAGAGGTTGCAGTGAGCCGAGATTGCGCCACTGTACTCCAGCCTGGGCGACAGAG